AAGATCATGGGAAGTTTCTCAAAAACATTTGTCTTCTAGTAACTTTTGAACATTTATATTGTTTCTAACCGTGGCTGAATTTTAGGTAGAGTCATAACTCATATGCATAAATAAACTAGAATTTTTTCATTAATATTCAAGACTACCTAAAGGTTACAAACATACAACTCAACATTTAACACTTTGTATATCTACACGAATAACTAAGTTATAGAAAATAATTGATAAACACTAAACAAAACTGAGCATAAACTAGTTATCACGAGTTGTGTTGATCTTATCATATGTGGCTTCAAGAATGCTAAATAACTCCTGACAACTGTGGACTGAAGCTTGAACATGTAACAATTTCTTTTCAAGTTTCTGAGCATTTGGAGGAGAATTTCTAACTTTAGAGTGACTCATCTCCCACATACCATGGCCTTGTATATTGTATAACAATCTCATGGCCACAATTAAAATTAACATTACACAAGCACGAGTTGGAAATCCTGAGACCTTCCTCGACAACCACAAGTCCGCAGGGAGTGACCACTAATAAATACGACATGCATGAGGAAGAATCTTCTCTACCGGAAGGGAAAGCTCCTTAAGATACCGATGAGCAATTGCATAGAACTTCACAGAAGGAAGGCGTAAACCAACAGCTTGAGCTATAGAAGCAGCTGTTGCTTCGAGTTGTTCTGCTCCAATAACTAGAATAGGTCTGAACAAAGCCCTTGAACTCAAGGGGAAAGGACTTGAAGGCTTTTCAAGGCGTCGATCCATTTCAGTGAAGGCAACAAGAAAAGGGAGTTTTCCCTCTGACGCCCATTTCAAGATGTTCGTCGGTAGGATTGGCTCTCTTGCAATGTGGCAAACTAAAAAATAAATAGCCAACGTAGAATACAAAGGCACTGTTCTTCGCAAAGAACGGAGCCATATAAATATGGCTCTCTGACCATATGCATTGTGGGGTTCTGATCTATACTTCGATCGAATGCGCTTAAACTTTTTGGGTTTTCCTGCAGCCAAAGGACTAGGAATTTTAGTAAATCATATATAGATAAAGAAGCAGGCAAAGATGTTATTTACTATATAGTAAACAGTACGCAAAATCATACAAAATAATGGTAGATACATCAAAATTGTTTGCCAACAATACACTAAATGAGGAAATAGTATAAGCTAACAAGTTGTTCAAGATTATAGTAAACACAGGTAATGAATTTCAGTTAAAATGAGCTGAACAACACCCATAACTTCTCCATGTATATGATATATTTAAAACAAGATGAGTAACAAAGCATCAACATACACTGGTATAGATTATTGAGGAGCCAGTGTAAACTTCCTCGAGGCATATGCTATTGAGGAGGATAAAGCGATGTATATCATTAATAAATGTGAGTCCCCTTGTCGTGTAAGTTGGTTTGCCATATGTTTCGTCATGAATACTCACAGGTCTATTAAGCTTTGTCTTTATATTTTCGTCCAAATAACGGGAACAAAATGTTGTTACTTCTTCCCAGAGATAACATTCCCCTCTGGTCGATTTCTATTTCGTATATACTTTTTTAAAGTCAAAAGGTACCTATAAAAACTCACATTAAATTACTAAACACAATAATGTAGAATAACAAAATTATATCTATTGCATCAAATGGAAATTTAAAGTTACCTTTCTATAGGATACATCCACCTATATTGTACCGGTCCTGCAAATCTAGCCTCTTTTGCAAGATGAACAGTCAAGTGGATTATGATATCAAAGAACGATGGTGGAAAATCCGCTCAAGCTTGCACAATATCAAAGGTATCGCTTTCTCTAGCTTTTCTAGCTCCTTGTCATCGGCATTTTTAGCACACAATTCTCTAAAGAAGGTGCAAAGTTCATTGATCACTAAACCAACGGATTCTAGAAGAGAAGTCCTTAAGGATAGTGGGAGAATGTGTTGCATAATAACATGGTGATCATGACTCTTCAACCCATCGATCTTGCCTTTCACAGTATTTATCTTCTTATTAAATGATCTTGAAAACCCTGTAGGAACCTTTTAGCTCATGTAATACCTCTAAAAACATTTTCTTTTCTGATTTTGACATATGATAAATAGCATTGGGGAGTACAAATTTGCCCGGATTACCAACTTTAGGTACAGGATGCAATTCTTTTCTAATGTTCAAGTGCTGTAAATCTCTCCGAGCTTGGAGGTTGTCTTTTGATTTTCCATCTTTACAAAGAAGCAAGTTAAGTATGTGCTCAAATACTCCCTTCTCAATGTGCATCACATCCAGATTGTGACGAACGGTATTTGTCTCCCAATACAGCAATTCAAAGAAAATACTTTTTTTTGTTTCATCCTTGTGGTCTTTCCTGTCTTTCCTTTACTTTTCCAAAAGTTACATTTCCGTAGACATTCCACTGAGCAAGTATGTCCTTTCCGGATAAGGAGGCTAGAGCCTTTCTATGCCCTGTAGTACCATCAAAGTGAACAACATCATCCCTATAAGGATGATCTTCTTCCAACATAAGTCGATGACCGCAATAGCAGTTTTTTTTGCTAAAGGGCAATTATGTCGATGATGTATCGGCATGGCAATAAGGACATGCTTTATAACTGTCACGCCCCGCTTCCCAAAATACCAGGGAATCGGGACGTGAACAAGCCCGCGACGTATTAGATCAAGGAGAGTAAATAAAAACATTTATCCTTAACCTAACACGCTAAGCGTCTGGAAATAAATACAATGCGAAGTCACATGTCCCCGATCATAATCAGCAAGAATATAATGAACAACACAGAATAAAATAATACATATCACAAATGAATATCATCCAAGACATAATATACGGGTCAAACATGCCCTTATACAAATCAGAACAAGAGAATACAGGAGAGATATAAAATACATCGATCAGGCAGGAATGGAAAGAACTACAAAAGTAACTGGAACCGCTCATGCAATAAATAAAAGAATAGTCTTCGACTCCTTCTTCTGCTCCGTCTACAAGACACTCCTGCTGAGTATCCTTGGCTCTGGCGCATCTCCAAGCTGAACCTATTCTTCATCTAAGTCTGACGTACACCAGAGAAAACAGGTGTACGTCAGGTGCATGGTGCACGGCAAGACCCCACAAAAGAAAAGAACGAACGAAAACCAAAGCGAGAAATGATACGATAACAGAAATGACAAAAACGTGCAACTGGAAATCCAACAAAATCAACATACAAAATCACGACTAAAACATGATAGACATAAAGCATACAAAATCGATCAGGTAACGAGATCATGTAGCTAGCGATCAGAATAATCATCCAGGTCACAAGGTTATACCATAGATGGAATTAATACTTAAAAATCTACAACTCGAGACGTAGTACGTCAAGCGAAATAAACCAAACAAGGAAACCCTCATGTATATACCATATGTCTCAAATTATAGATAATTAAATATTAATCCCGATCTATATATGGAAGGGAGTACAACTGGTCTACATCTCACAAGAATCCATAAATCCTAGCTAAGAAACGAGATCACGTAACTAGCCATTCTATAACAGGTCACTGGTCACATCTCACACAGAGTCAACACTCATATCATCGGATAACTTACTGTTCACAAATCCCCTACGTGCATCCAATCCCGCGAAACAGGCGGCTAGAGGACTACACGCAAAGCTCAGGTGACGAAACAGGTCACGGATCAAAGTGACGAAACAGGCCACGGATCAAAGTGACGAAACAGGCCACTTTGTCCAACAAACCAACCCCAGGACGAAACAGGTCACTGGTGCGAGTCTAGAAGATACATCAACAGTCTTATCCGATCATATGAACATTAACTTCCTCATCCCAACTCTTCTCGCTTTTCTAAAACACAATACATGTCTCTAGGTCACGTAAGGCTACTACGGTCATAACCACTAACAGTTCTCAATCACGACCCCACAAAGGAAAGGAGATTGACCTGATTTGGCAGTGATTCGAATCCTGATTTGGCAGTAATCACATTCTGAGTTCGAGTTCCGAAACCGATCTTGATTCGCGTCGTGATTGCGTCGAGTCCGTCTTGTTTGAATGATCGTTGATTCCCCGAACTGTTGGCTTGATTCACACACTAGTTCGAATGGATGTATTCCGTTGCTTGCGTGGCGGTTGTCAACCTCGTCGCCCTCGTTGGTTGTCCGGTTTGTGCGAGTCTTATGGCTAGGACATATAGCAATTTATATGCCTACAAATATTTATATACAGTGTGTGTTTTCGATATTTATTGTTGTGATATAGGCGTGCTATAATTATTTTGTTTTGTTTCTTGATGTGATAACTAAATATTAATTCATTTTTTATATGTTGTTGTGTCATATCACTTGACTTCCCCTAATTTATCTTCTTGCTATTCCGTTTTGATTATATCATATCTTTTTAGTTTATGTTCAATTAACTTCTAATATTCACTTACACTTGTGCTGGTTATTTTACATTAATTATATTAATTTGTTCACATTCTAATTTCTGTGTATACAATCTGTAAATTGCGTAATTTTGTGTATATGAACTTATCTTTTGCTAATTTTGCATACTGGTTTTTAGCATGATATTTGATTGTATATTAATAATTGTGTTTAGCTAGCTTATACTTGCTATCTTTTGTTCTTTTGGCTATGTTTTCAGACTACTTTTTATCATTCCATTAATTAAATATGTTTCTTTTATTTGTGTTGTATTTTGTATGTATTGTTTATTATCCACTTGCTTATGATGTTTTTGTAATTATATTTGATATTATACTCATATATATTATTTTATTTGTTATATGATCCCGCGTTGATGTTTTTGTTTTCGTTCGGTTTCCCCTCGTTTTATTGATTTTGTATCTTCATTGTGGTTTTTACATATCTTAGTTTAAACCTGTTATCTGATTGTATTTTTATTATTAAATTCTTTTGTTTTGATTAACCATTTGTTAATACGTATGTTATTGATGTTTTTGTTTAAAACTATTTGTATTTTAGATTTTTTGACTTTTTTCTTATATGTTGTTTTATGTGTATCGACTGTTCTATTGTTTTCTGACTTTATTTTTGTGTTTGCCTTAGATTTATTGTTGCTTACTTTGATTTTATTCTTACTCTAATATGTGTTTCTGCTTTGTTTTTACTGAATGCTCGTGATATTATTTGTATGAATTCACTCTGATATGATTGTCTATTTTATATTGTACATATTGTTTTGATTCTATATTATTGTTTAGTCTTATACTTTATATCTGATTCAATTGCTTATATATTTCAAGTACGTGTATAACAAGTTCACATAGTTAAAATATGTTTCGTATCATGTATTTATTGGGAACTATTGTTACGGTCTGAAACTACGATAGCGATATCTTAGTTGTCACATCTTCGTATGCTTACGTTATGGTTCGTTTTTATTTTAACATTCTCCTCGTATTTATGGATATCGTTCCCATATCTCCTGTCCTTGGATTCTTTCCTGCATTATTATTTTTTTTAATTCGAGGACGGAATTTGTTTTTAAGGGGGTAGTGATGTAATAATCATAAATTTTTAATCACGGCGGTTTACAATAATTTTTTCTGGTCATTTAAATATTAAATTTTTATTTTAAAAAAGAGTATTTGAATTTTTCCTAATTTTCTGAAATTTTATGATTTAAAAATCCGATTTTATATTTATGATTTGATAACTTAGAATTAATTTGTTGCAGTAAAAAAAATCTTTTTAATTAATTTTGGTTATTTATTATATATTGTTATTAATCATCTTGTATTATATTGTTTAGCGCACTGGCATTTATCCCTAGCTTCTATCTTATAGCATCAGCTGATCAGCAGCGAAAGTCATCTGTTTGATCTGACCTCCCCTGGTTTCCCTCATATTCAGTCAGTCTCGTCTCCAATCAAGTATCCTTTCTCTCTACATTCTCTCCCGCTCACCGCTCACGAGCAACTCACAACCTTGCCTCCGCCCAACTCCCTGTCACCATATCCCTCCCCCACTGCCCCTAAATTCCTCCCCAATTCCAGCCCCACTTACTCTGTCCCCCTCTTATTTTAATCCCATACGCAGGCTTCTCTCTCTTCTCTCTCAATCATAGTCAGCACCCTCTTCGCATCTCTCTTCAGCCTTCACCTCCTGCTCTCCTCGCCCTCCTCATCTCTCCGACAAGCTTCCTCCGCGCCCCCCCTCACCAACCGTGTCCGAGCTCCGACCACGGCGTCATCCTCACGTCACACGCTGTCCGCGACAATGCCCAGCTCGACCGTCCGCCGCCCAAGCTTCTCGAGCTCTGAAATCGCCTCCTCCTCGCCGGGTTTGGCTGGTTTGTGATGACAAGAAATAAACAAATAGAGATACAAATACTATCGACCAAATATGCGTCAGAGCTCCAACGTTCCTACTGCGACCTCAAGGCTCAATATAGATACCGAAATAAACGAGCTAACCGAAAATTAACCCATAGATATAGAATACGCCAGGCTGACCAGACCCGCCTCTTCTTCAGATCCAGAAAATATAATAAGAAAAAAAACGCCAAGGTCTCCGCGCTTGCCTTTGCCAATCCTCCGAGAATAAGAAGACCGCTTAGAATAAAAAGTTAACAGCCGACCAAATAAAAAAGCTTCGCCTTGAGATCCGACACCCCGACGGCGACCGCACGAGGTCCTCTCCACTCGCCACAGCTCCACTTGTGTCGTTAAGGAAAAATAAAGTCTGCTCCAAAGAGATAAAGACCGACGCACCTCCCCCAGCTCCTCCATCCCAAGAGCCCGCCACAGCCTCAACCATGCATCCTCTCAACCCCGCCAAATCCCAAGATATATATAAAGACGTCCTATAGAAAGAAGATATATACGAACTCAATAATAGATACACTCTGCACCAAAATAATATCGTGACAGCGCCTACTCGCTTCCCATCACAAAGCCGCCGGTTCTCCCCGAAAGCCGCGCTGCCTCTTGAGTCTCTCACTCGTCGCTTACCGTGACCCGACGCCCGAAGTTTGCTGCAACGACTACAACGTCGCAACCACCAACGGGAGGCTTCCTTCGTCGCACACGGCACCTGTTCGAGAATATGCCAGACGCAGCTCCAAGACCGACCATAGAACGTGGCTTTGAGATCAGTCGGTAGCCGCGGTCCGCGAAAATCGGCACGGTAGCGTCATCGTCAGACCCCCGTTTCGCATTGGCAGCTCTCACATTCCTTTTGTCCGTCTTTATTATTTTGATATACTGGTTAGTACAGTGCATGCCAAGATCCCGGCTTTTCTTCGACTTGCATTTTTATTATTTTTATCTGTTAATTAATTGGTTTACATAGATTCAGTTTAATTGATATAATTTCTATGTGGGAATTGTTTTGATGATAAAATTATGATAATCATAAATAGTAGGTGATGAATAAGCATTTTCAGAATAATTATAGATGAATTTAAAAGAAAATTTATTTTGGGCAGCAGATTATTTTTGGATAAGTTACTATCAATTAAAAGAATTTATTTGGA